CAAAAGAGCAGTAGCCAGATAGTTTAAAAGAAAAAAGATCGTGACTCAAGATTATTTTTCCTATGTGACTGGTGGTTCATTGTGTTTAAAAAAAAAAAAATCCTGAGTCCTTGATAGTGTACGTGAGAATGGAGAATGTCTACCAACTTTACAAAGAAGTAACAAGTGTATCTGTTGACAATAAGTATAAATGTGTTAAACACATTTTTAAAGGGAAAAATACACAAGTCAAAAATAATTCAATTATGTGCTGTTTCTAAGCCACTTTTAGTTCTCCAAGAACTGTTAAATAAAAGGATGAACAAAGATAAAACAAGCAATAACCAACCAAAAGAAAGCAGAGGTCACATTATTAATATTAGACAAAACAGAATGCAAAGTAAAAAGCATTTAACAGGATCAAGAACACAAATTTGACAAAAGCAGGTACATTCCATATGAAGGCTTACGAGTTCAGTAACAGCACCGAAATGTACTTAACAAAGACTGCAGGAAATACGAGAAACTGACAGACCGTTGTGGTAGAACACTTTACTTCATCTCTAGCAGTCCTTAATAGATCTCAAACCAAAAGTAAGGATACAAATGGTCAGAATAATATCAAAATTAACATGTCCAAATCTAATATCTGGTTCTTTTCCCCCAAATCCACTCTTTCCTGATAGTTCCCAAATAAGGTGATAATAATGCCATTCCTTCAGGTGCTCGGGCCAAAAATCTTGATGTTATCCCTAACACCTTTCTTTCTCTTACACCCCATATCCCATCCATCAGGAAATGTTGTTGACTCTGCCTTCAAAACTACTTAAAAATCTTACTACTGCTCCCCACTTTCTATTGCTACCACCATGGTCCAAGCCACCGTCTCTCACCAGAGTTATTTTAATACTTCACCAACTAGTCTTCCTACTTCCGACCTTCCCCTGCCCCCTCAACTCCATCAGTCCACTCCTTACACAGCAGCCACAGTGCTTCTGTCAGGTCATGCCTCTCCTCTGCTCAAAACCCTCAAATGGCTACAAATCCGATAAAGGGCTGATAACTAGAATTTACTTAGAACTCAGGAAAATCAACAAGAAAAAAATCAAAACGACCCTATCAAAAAGTG